ATGCTCATTATTTTGTTATTCCAGCATTATATATGCTTAAATATATTTTATTTTTTTAATTTATAAATAATATTTATTTATTCTATAGGTAAGTCCATAATGTAAATTAAAAAGGGAAAAATCATAATATTAAAAAAAATATTTATAATTTAGAGGGTAAAATATGTATTTGGCAATCCAAAATTTGAAAAATCTAGTTGAGTGACCTTCTGAGTGCAATCGGCATAGTTCAGTGACTTTGCTGTTACAAAATAAAGAAAAGTGACTTTAGGAGATAATTTGGGATAGTTAAGTGACCATTTGAGTAATACCTCTCATAATCTTCTTTTTATCTTCTTCTTTCTTGTATAATATATTGGTATATCTAAGTTTCAATTATTTATTGAACAATTTGCATACTCTAGATGAACAACTTGTCGTCAAGGACAACCTTAGGCCAATTAGTCAAAGTTATTATTCCTTACTATTAGATTTGAAAATTACTGCTCATATATAGAAGGGGCTCGATGCACAAAGTATCTCGCATTCACGCAGGGTCTGGGAAAGTGCTGCACCCTAAGAGGTATGACGTAGACAACATATTCTAATACAAGCATTAGTGGCTAGTTCAACGACTCGAACCCGTAACTTACAGGTCACACAGAGATAACTTTGCTGCTGCTCTAGGCTCCCCTTCGCTTACTGCTTATATATACTAGCTTCATTACTGAGAAAAGAAGGCAAAGAGAGGTCTTGTAGAAACTTGGAATTAAGCTATGATAACAATTTTCTTTGTTTTTCTTGGTTTATTGATTCTTGCTAGGTTCTTGTACAAATTTTGGTGGTATCCACTTTCAATACAACATTTGATGAATTCACAGGGAATCAAAGGTCCAACTTACAAGTTTCCAAATGGGAATGCCAATGGAGCTATCATCACATGACATATTTTCTAGGTTGCAGCCTCAATACAACTCATGGATCAAGCTCTATGGTAATTTACATTTACCTTTTTTTTTTATATATAACAGCTCACCCAACTAGTGATATGATTCGTTTTGGGCCTAGGTCTGCATGGCTTTAAAGTGCGTCACTAAATGTAAGATTTGTTTATTTATATACTCAATCTTTTTCACATGTTTTGTCGATGTAAGATTCACCTTGGCTATCACACTTTAGTTATTGAAATACCCTTTAACTGATTCTGAATTTATGTATCAGGAAGGAATTTCCTTTGTTGGAATAATACTCAATCACGATTGGTTGTAACTGATGTTGACTTGATCAAAGAAATTCTTAGCAGCAAAGAAAGTTCATTTGGTAAGTCTAAAATTATTAATCAATGTTCATTAAGGTTTTGGTGTAACTGATAAAGTTGTTGTCATATGACCAAGAGGTCACAGGTTTGAGCCGTAAAAACAGCCTCTTGCAGAAATTTTCTATAAAACTGCGTACAATAGACCCTTGTGATCCGACCCTTCCCCGGACCCCGTGCGCATAACGAGAACTTAGTGCATTGAGCTACCTTTTTAACCAATGTTCATTAAATAAACTTACCTGCAATTATGATGTGATTGTATGTTTTTTATATCGCGTGCATTGGACTTAAACTCAAGAATAATTTTTATGAAATATTCCAAATCAGGACATCATTCCAGCAATTATTGAGTGTGTGGAATCAATGTTGGAAAGATGGAAATCTTATGAAGGTAAAGAGATTGAAGTGTTTGAAGAATTCAGGCTTCTGAGCATAGAGATCATAGCAAATCAGTTTTCGGAGGCAATTTCTCAGATGGACAACATATATTCAATCTGTTTGACAAACTAGCTCTTATTTAGTAGGCGTTTGGACATAAGAATTGTAAAATTCGAAAAAATGGTGAAAACGTTTTTCAAGTGAAAATGGTATTTAAAATTAAGAGTTGTGTTTGGACATAAATTTCAGTTTGGGTTATTTTTGAAGTTTTATAAGTGATTTGAGTGAAAATTTTGAAAAACAGTTTTTTGCAGTTTTTCAAATTTTCGAAAATTTCCAAAACGCATCTTCATGAAAATTAAAAAATTTATGAACAAACGCTGATTTCGAAATGAAGTGAAATATTTTGAAAAAATCTTCCATCAAATTTTATGTCCAAACGGGCCATTATACTATCAGCTTTGGAAAGAGTCAGACTCCTATTATCGAGTATGCATCGATAGACTAGCTAGAAATACCAACTCTTAATTTACATCAACTATATCATTTCATTTTGTTGCTAATGCATGTTGCTACTGCTTCCTTTTCATCTTTCCTTTATTCGGGGTTTATCGGAAACAATCTCTTTTCCCTCAAGTTAGGGGTAAGGTCTGCGTGCACACTACACTCCTCAGAACCCACTTGTGGGATTATACTGAGTTTTTGGTTGTTGTATATCATTTCTTGAAGGTGAGCCTTAGCGTAACTGCTAAAGTTGTTGTCATGTGACCAGGAGATCACGGGTTCGAGCCGTGAAAACAGCTTCTAGTAGAAATGCAGGGTAAGGTTTCGTACAATAGACCCTTGTGGCCTGCTTTTCCCCGGACCCCACGCATAGCGGAAGCTTAGTACACCGGGCTGCCTTTTTCTTGTATATCATTTCATTTTGTTGAATTGCTTGATGCTACCTCTTGTGCCTTTTACAGAAAAATATTCAAGTCATCTTAGGAGACTGAATCAGACAAAGTATTAGAAGATCCATATGACTTGTTCGACAAAATGATAAAGAAAAGAGAAGAAAAACTTAAGACAGGACAATCAGACAACTTTGGAAATGATTTTTTTGGATCATTTTTGAAGGCTCACCATAATCCAGATCAAGAAGCAAGAATCACAGTGGATGAAATCATACAAGAATGTAAACTTTTCTATTTTGGTGGACATAAAACAATTACTAGTTTGCTAAGCTGGAGTATTCTTCTCCTAGCAATCCACACAGATTGGCAAGAGAAAGCAAGAAAAGAAATTCTCCGAACTCTTGGCCAAGATAATCCAACGACAGAAAGCATTTCTAGGCTGAAGATTGTAAGTATCCAACATCTTCTTCGCTAAAAACTTACTCGTTCCAGGTGTTTACACCAAGAGAGACGGATCCAGGATTTAAATCCTATAGATTCAACTTTCAAAGGTTTTTAGTATTGAACCCATTATATTTTTAAAATTATGGGTTCAACACTGCATTCGCCCCCTGACACCAAGCCAATAATTCCATGATATTTATTTACATTTACCTCAAGAAAGTACGACTTGTCTAAACCAACGGCGGAGCCACATAACTCCAGTGGGTGTCAATTGACAACTCTTCACCGAAAAATTATACTCCATTTGTTTCAAAAAGATTGGCATTATTTCCTTATTAGTTTGTTTCAAAAAGATTGTCTATCTTTCAATATTTCTTTAATAAGAAGTATTTATAGACACACAAATGTTATGGTAGATTTCATACCACAAGTTTCAAAAGTCTTACATCCACACAAATGCTATGACTTATTTAACACTACATATCTCAAAAGTTTTTCATTTTTTATTAAAATTTATGCCAAGTCAAACTAAGATAATCTTTACGAAAAGGAGGAAGTACTACTTAAATAGGTACAGTTAGTGTTTTTTATGTATATATATTGTGTATCGGACCCCCTTGACTTATATATTCGTGTATTTGGTTCTTCAAATTTTGACATCCTTTAATGAAAATTCTGGCTCCGCTACTGATATGAAACCATTGAAACTTGGACACGTTGAGCTAAGAATATATTCATGATAGGTCAACTTAGATTGTGTTCAAATCTATCCATCGAACTGCTTGGTTGTATTTGAACTATCAACACATTGTTAAGTTCAACCCAAACTCAGTAAACTTAGGACATTTTGGATCATGATTCATTTATTGACTCAACTTATTTTGATCAGTTCAAATTTAGCTCAACTCGTCCATTTGACTGTTCATATGTATTATCTCTATGTACATTATTTGTAGGTGGGCATGATTTGGTCTTCGAAAATGTGTTGGTGTGAATTTTGTGCAAATGGAGGTGAAATCTGCAATCTCTATGATCCTGCAACGTTATAAGCTCACTGTTTCACCAAATTGTAGTCACTTTCCTATGGCGTCTTTCGCCCTTGATCCTAATTCCTAAACATGGAATTCAGATCATGCTTCATCCACTTAAAAATTATTAAGTATCTTACTTAACAGTAATAAATTTGCAGTGAGTTAGAGCTTAAGTTAATTTTCTTTCATTCAGTAATAAAATTCAAGAAAAGTTTGTGCAATGGAGAAGGAATTCCCTGGACTATTAACTTTTCTGTTTCTCTTGCATTTACCACATGGTATAAGTTAATTGATCAAATTTTGAAGTTTTCAGATAATTTGTTTTAGAGAAAATTTAATTTTGACATGTTTGACACAACACAAGTAGTCCTAGTTTGCAGGAAATTTAAGAAGATTAACGTTCAGGGTACTGAGAATTGCTTTTGTCCCTCCTAGAACTGATCTTGATTAGCAGATAATTAAAGGTCGAACACATCAAGTTAAAATACTAGGTCCGGATAAAACCTGAAAGTCAGTTCTTTACCTCCACCAAACAAAATCCGTCTTTTTAGCAACGGCTATTCAATGCCAGCTGATGCATACCTTCACTATTTTACTAGTGTCTCCCACAAACACGGTACCGAGTAACTCTGTATACCAACACTTAAGTAGATGAAAAAAAAATCATCTACAGTTTTTATCTCCGCTACAATTTGAACCCCCTATCTCCAAAGTTTGCATCCACTTCATTGACCACCTGGCCGCCTACTCCAATAAGTACTTGCAATTGTTTACAAATTCTAAGTTGACCAACTCTCATAATTGCTCAACTTGACCTTAAAATCAACTTAGATACCAAAAGTGAGATAAAAGGAAGATTTAACTTGTTAAGATAATATAGTAGCATATTGTTAATCAGTCTGTGCATTGCAGCTTATTGCTTGTGGAGTAGTGTTATAGTTACTCCACATAGTGAACAATGAACAATGAGAGATTCTTTAATTTTATAGCTTTTTGTAAAGCAATTCCTGAAAAAACACCACAACCCTGAAAAAGGACAATTACATTAACAAAGACAATAAAGAAATGACATAACTATGCCTGGAAATGAGAAAACCTTTCTGCAGTTGAGTGCAGCTTTCCACATGGTGAGAAAAATCTAAAGCATTGAAGGCCTATTCACAAAATTTCCATCCTAAAGATAAATCTTTTGACTGGGAATATACTACTTTTATCTCCTATGTTCACTGCTATAAAGTTGGTAAATACTTGTCCTTCATTCGAGAAATAAGCTTGAATTTCTCCTCAGCTTCAACTTCTTGTCGTATATCAGATCTTGAAGCTCTATCTGGGTGAAACATCAGCAACGCTTTCTTGTAAGCAACGCGCACCTGAAAACAAGCATTTGTCCTAAGTGATCTCTCTCATTTTATTACCGGGATTAACATAGCAACACTTCAGAAACCAAAATAGAAGAAAGAAACGACCACAAGAAGTAGATTGTAACACGAATACAAATAAAACCCTGAAAACCATAGGTAAAAACACAAGAAATGAGAAACCGCCATGTCATAAGGGCTAGTTACTCCTAAATAAGCAACACGTTGAATATGAGCATGGAGTGGAGAGGCAAGTCTAAATTGACAACAGCCAACGTGATATAGGGAGAAAGATAAAATGGGTAGATAGATCAGAATGCGAAACCAACACTGGAAGGAATAACAGCTGATTTGATGCACAGATATGAAATCTTAGACTTGCAAGCCTGAATACACATACTGTTTCAATATAACTGCAGAGAAGTGCATTGACTTGCATAATAATCTGCATTACTTTACGGTTACTAAAAAGAGAACTTTGCATCATGCTAATTAACTCAGTTATCTGCACAACTTAACGCAATCAGATTTTCTACATTGCTAGTCAGTCTGCAGAAGAAGCAGATTCTAGACGGACTTTCATTTTTGTTTCAACTAAAAAGATCATATGATTGCTAAGAACAAGAAAACTCACCAACCGCAAATCAGGAATCAGGACAATAGCAAAATAAGAATGCCAATGTTTCTTTAAAATATGTTTCCCAGTAAGACACAATGAGAGTAAACAAACCTCATGACTAGTGCCACCACCAACAGTGATTCCCAATCCGCACAACATCGAAGCCATATCATGGCATGTCATTTCGAGCTTCCTAAGTTCCTTTCGAACTTCGGCTCGTACCAGCTCCTTCAAGTTCATATTCTCTACGTCCTAACAAAATTCATCAGAAGGATTATATACTAGGAAAATCCAAATATGCCATTAGTCACAAAAACAACACAGAGGCAGCATAAGTTGCGTGAAAGAGAGACATAAACAAATATAAAATAAAGACTCTGCAACACCACGCAATAGACAGCAGAAGAGGCCAAGTTGTGATACCTTCTTTTGAGTTTCTCTCATTTCCTCCACACGCTGCTTTTGTCTCTTCTCCATTTCTAATAGACGCATACTTTCAGCCTTCTTTCTTTTCAGCAACAGCTTCAACTTTTTGGCTTCTTCTGCCTGAATAGGTAAAAAACACATCAGATAACAATACATCTGCATACATATACAAGTCTTATTGTCTTTTGGCTAACTTTGCTTTTCTCTGTGGTTTCATTTTTTTATCAGAAATTCTATAACTTCAATCTTAATCAAAGTTTAAGGTTTAGAACACTATCAAACAGCAATCTCGCCAATTACAAACCAAAAATCATACTGTAAGGATCACCTGATATTTTTACATCAAGAAAGACAAGAACGGCTACATGACATGAAAATAACTTATTGTCACATGACCCACATGATGTTTCACTTCTACATCCAAAATATTTTTTATATAAATAACCAGAATGGGTTATCATATAAAGAACTCTATTATTTTTTTTTTTATCTATTATTTTTATTTTGTATAATATTGGCCTGGAATGAGTTTATATAGAATAACATAGTTAGTGAGGATTCATATACCAGAACACTAACTTGTTTGGGATTGAGACGTAGTTGTATTGGGTGTTGTATGAGCATGCAAGGCTGAAAAGGGGAAACCGTTGCCTTCTGACTGCATACTCAAACCCCCGGCTATGACGGCATCAAGACTATCCTTTGAAAAAGAAACACTTAGTTTGACTAGACCAATTCCCCTAGGGAAAGAAATTGGCGAGGGAAGGCAAAATGAAAGGTTCAGTTAACCTTAAGAAGAGGAATCAAACTCTACCCCCCGGTCACTGACAGTATGAAGCAGAATATAAATACGTTTTCTTTTCTTTGATCTTCACCCGGCATCTTGGCTTGATATTACAGCCAGAACACTAATCCTTTTCGTTGATCTTTCCATCTAATGTGCTGTATATATTTTTCGATCTTAAAAGTATCAACGGTAGTGTGCGTTTTGTGGTTACCGCGGTTGATGAGGTGGAGGGCTGTGTGTGGTGGAGATTGATAGTGTGCAGGTTGTGTGTTGTAGACCAGGTAAGTGGCAAGTCAAGGGGGAGTTTGTGAGGTTTGGGCATAGGGTGTTGGTAAGTGGCTCCTGGTGATTGGTATTAGTTTGGGCATAAGGTATTGGTAGACCTACAATTAGATTCAATATTGGCATCTCAAAAAGGCTTTGGTGCAGTAAGAGATAGATTAAAAGCATACAAATGACTCTAAACCCATTTTAAGTGAGAATTGGACCAGAAAAGATTCATTAGAAAAGCAGTGTCCGCTACTGAAACAACTGCATCAAAAGTAAGTGAGCAGCATAACAGACAAACAGTATATATCTCCATTTTGCTAAGTAACATTTGTTAAAGTAGTCAGACGGACTACCCCGTCAATACTTCTTCAATATGACATACACAACTAAACAAACCATAGGTGGAACAAAAAGACATGTCTGTACTTTGAAGTCCAAACGTAGTGTGTAGAGCGTACAGTATTGGATTGGTTAGTGTTGTCAAAGGCTCATTTTAGCACACTTAAGACCTGAAACTCAGTTAATTCCACGTTGTGCGCTTCACCTCACTTAGGTGACGCTTAAGTGGAGACACTAAGGTACTAAGGCATGCGTCTCAATGCCCATCAACTCTATCTTTAAGAGGGCAATACTAAACAAAAGATAGAGTTAGCAAAAGGATACATTAATTGTAAAAAAAAGTATTAATTGTTAGTGACTAGGAATAAGAGATTAAAATTTTAATAAGAAAAAAATTGCACCAAAAAGCATAAAGCTACATCTCTTTTCTAAATCAATAAATTTGAAATGGTTTTTAAACTTGATTGACATGATTGTACTTCATATATTTCAGTTTAGTGTATCTGTTCTTTTGTTCAACTAGTTATTGTTTGCCTTTTTCTCGAAAAAAAAAATATTGTTTGTCTTTCTTCATCAGTGGCTTTCTTTGTGAAGCTCACCCTTTAATTCCGCTTTGCACTTAAAATCCCCAGAATATTTCGTTTTTGACTACTCTCGACTTTGGAGATCCAACTTCTACAAGATATAGAGGAGGACGATTTTTCTTCTATTTTTGTGATGAATATAAAGGGGGAAATTTTCACACACTCCGCGGCATGTATATATTTCTACATCAACTGACTACTTCAAGTCTCTAACTATTACAAACACAATACCGGCAGTTAATCTCTTACATACTCTTACTCTATACAACTTGGCTGTAATATTTTCGTTCACGCAGCAAATAGGCTACAAAGAAGCACATTAAGATCAAAAGTCGAGAACATTTGATCAATTATGGCATTCATGAGATCAAAATTATGGGAGCAGACATCGATTCCACCAATACCCTGATAAACTTTCATAAGAATTCAGCAGTCAAAAGATCAAAAGATCAACAGGTTACAGAATAATGAACACCGAATGCATAACAGAAAACCACATCTCTACAAAAGTTAGCAGGAGGCAGTAAACATGACAGACCTGAATCACTAACGCTCTTTGCCTGGACGCAAGTTCTTCCTCTAGTGCCTTTTTGTATTCGGAAGTCTCCTTCATCCTTTCTCTTTCGGTGGTAATACAGTTCTCAATACGACCTTCCACATTCTCACCATCCTGGACATTCACGTCATCATGCCTTTCATCCTTGTGTTGGCTCGTAGATACAGATTCAGAAAGACCCTCCTCCAGCAAGGAACCTCTGTTACTAGGTTGTGTTTCATTATTGTGTGCATTTAATTCTGATGTCCTATCAGGAATCCATTTCCCATTTTCCTGATCGACACATTTTTTGCCGCTGATTCCTGAGCATGATGAAGCTCTCGTGCAAATAGAAGACTCTCTAGGATTAACTCTGCTGCCATTAGAATAGTTGCGTTCTGGATAGTATACAACAGATGATCGGGTAGTCCTTGGAAATCCTCCAGAAAATAAATCCTCCTTCTCATTGAACCTACTGGTTTCATGTCTTAATTCTTTTGAGAAATGAAAATTATAACTCTTAACCGCCTCCTGACACTTTTTACCATTATCAGCAGAAACATATTGTCTCCTACCATTTTCAGTTTCAACAGCACGCTGATGCTTTCCAAGAAAAGGTTCCTCCTCTGCTACCCTATATTGTCTACAACAGAAGTTCCTGTCACCACATGAAACAGGTTTTTCCAAACAAGGTCCTGGAGCTGGAATACTCCCTTCATTGCCTTGCTCCGGGTGCTTCTTTTCAAAAGGATTCTGCCGATATTCAGGGGGTATACTCGGATAACCCTCTTCAAAGTTCTTTCGTGGATCACCTTCGTCATGGACATCAGCCATACCAGAAGTGCGACGTGATTCACGTGTTGAGTTAGGAGATAGATCTTCTTTGTCTGTAGAGGATTTAGAGTAACCAGAACAAGATGTATGCTCTTCACTCTCACCAGGGTTAGGTTGAATTCCAACACCGGATGCACTATTGATATCTCTAACACCAGATTGATCACTGCTACACTTTTTCCTCTTTAAGGAAGCTTTCTGCCACTGCTCTCGAAGCTGTCCAGAATAATCCTCCATGAACTCATCATCTTCGGATGAACCACTCTCTGAATCAGATGTCAAACCATAGCGATTTCGTACAGGAGCTTTTCCGGAGTAAGTTCTTTTGCATTTTGATAACTTCACTGGAGGTATGTTTTCTCGAACCAACTGACAATCATCACCAATTTCATTTAGAGGTTCTTTAGCACTTTTCGAGGTTGAGCACGCTCTCATGCTAGGGGAAGGGTCACGAAAGAAGTGGCGGTCATTTTCTACACCAAATTCAGGATATTCATTCTCGCTGCTTTCGTCATCGTCGATGAAGATTATGTTCCTCAAAGGAGATCTTCTTTTGTCTTTCTTTGCTGAAGTCTTACGTCGAAACTTTTTGGGTGTGGATTCAGGCACATCAATAAAAATAACATTACTAAAAGTATCACTATCGACATCAATCAGAACAACATGATCAGCTCCTGCATGATCATTGCACCTCCTCAACGTCCTCCCGGTAATGGGTCTGCCATGAGACTCACCTAGAGACACCCCACTCATTTGTCTCTGCAAAACGGACAAAAAAGCAATTTAAAAATAACTCATTGAGGTCATATGATCACAACGAAAGGACGAGCAAGAAGGAGCTTGTGTGACAAACAAGCATAAAACTCAATGAGCAGTAAACAAAACCTGGTGAGAGTTGTGATCGGACCAACTTGTGTGCACCTCAACTAATCCACGGGGCAGCCTACCATAGCCCACAGCACATGCATCAGATAAACGGGATGCTACAGCTGGAATTTGAACCTAAAAACTCCAATTTATTTCCATATTACTAGCTCTTACCAGCATCTAAACATTATTTCCACTTCTGATTATCCCCAAACACCACATTCCATGTCCCACTCCACCCAATAGCAAAACCAGGATTTTGTATAAGAGGATTCAAAAATGCCACTCCTGCGATTTGAACCTATGACCAAAATTTTTGAACCCCCTTTCGCCACTTCACAAGAAATATTTCTGCATCTCAAGGGGATTCAATAGCGTATATATAATAAAAATAACCTAGTTTTCACCGTATTTCCCCCAGCTTTATATTCAATCAAATATCAGAAACTATCATAAAAAATCCTTTTTCTTAGGTAAAACATTCCACATCATCGCACCTAAGGGTGTGGCCTAGTGGTCAATGACATGGGTTGAGAACCATGTGGTCTCAGGTTCAAATCCCAGTAGAGGCAAATACATTAGGTGATTTCTTCCCATTTATCCAAGCCTTACCCATCCATGTTGTTGGTGGGAGGTAGCAGGTATCCCGTGAAAACAGTCGAGGTGCGTACAAATTGGCCTGGATACCACGGTTATCCCAAAAAAAACATTTCACATCATCACGAAGCAAGGCCTAACTTAATCGTGTATGCTGCTTTTTTTTTTTGCAGCAACAGAAAACACGAAAATTAAAAATTTAAACAGCAACACAGTTGAAGCAATTACATGTATAACAAATAAATTCACTAAAATTACTACTTCAACAACTAAGAAGAAATACATATCATGCAGCCCAAAGGGTCCATAGAATATCCAATTTCTTCACTAAATACAAAAGCCTACATCAATATGTTTTTAAATAAAAAGGTACCCAGATAAAATAAAATCCAAGAATAAAAAGAAACAAAGTTCGAATTAGGAAATAAAACCTAGAAAGCTGATTAATTCAAAGAAACAAAGACTACCAATTCCACAATTAATTGTTGTTACTCCGAAATGGATTTAATAAAAGACATAGTAAAATTGTAATTTGGGAGAAAGTTACCTTTGATGAGGAAAGAGCAAAACCCTAAGATGGCAAAGTCATGGAAATTTAGAGAGAAATTGGTGAGCGAGAGATGGAGAAAAGAGAAGGAAGAGGGAAATCAAACAAGTGAAAATAAACACGGGGTTTATTTATTATTAGTAGTAGTATATTTTCCTCTGTTTGGAATGAAAATCTAAAAAAAAAAAGAGAGAGAGAGAGAGAGAGAGCTTTATTAGTCCTAACTCGTAAGAGACGGGAAATTTTCGAAAAAGACTTTTATTTGGCTCTTGACTTTATTTTTTGTTTTTGTTTTTTCTAGTTGACGTCAAGGGGAAGAGAGAGTGAGGTTCACGGTTCAATTTACCGTTGGGAGTTTGGGACTTTTGAAGTTCTTTTTTTTGGATTTCTAATTTTTAAAGTTTGAATTTAGGTTCATTTAATGACGGTAATTTACATAATTAGATAATTTATAAAGATAATTAAGATAAATTTTTATAATAAGTATTAATTGATAACCTAGTAACAATAGTAACTAACGTATATCATTGTTTACCCGAAAAATCGGATATAGTTGAATTTATTAGTAGTTCTAAGGATATGTGATATAGCTTGACATAAATCGTACGTAGAGGTGAAAATGTTTAGATTCTTGGCTATGAAAACGGGATATGAATTATTGAATAAGAAGAGTGAGTGTGCTGAGTAAAACAAGCTCGAAAGATTTATTCGTCAATAAGAGAAGCAGTCTTTTCTTACAATGTGTCGACCTCTCTGTGCTTACAAGGATTCCTCCTTTTATATTAGTGGGATCTTACTTTATTTATAATAAAAAATATATAGTGGAGAACCAATAATGAATTGTCTCTTCCTCGATTCCCGCCAAGATTCTCTCCCCTAGTGCGGTTGCAACGACTCTTATCTGCGAGCTCGATACTGACTCGAGCTCGGTATTAGGTCGAGCCTTCGGCCTTGGTTCGAGTTCGACATCCGGGGTGAGTGTTAATCGGCATGCGCATCTCCGACTATCTTCACGTCGCCTTGCAGTTCGATTTGGTCATGGGCTCGATAATGATACCGAGCCGACTCCTCAATCGGTCTTGGAGCTCGATGCTTGTTTGTACTATCTTCGTAACTCACCTCAAAGTCTTACTTCGGTCGCTTACCATTTGAACTCGATCAAACGTACGAGGGCCGAAATCTATTTTGACCATATACAGATAGTCCCCTCGTTTTTCAGGAAGAATGTGGTGAGAAGCGATATGATTTTCATTGGCTCGATCGGGTTATAAGCTGACGTTTTCACCGGGCTCGATCATGACGTACGTGATAGCTATCTCGTTGATTTAGTCTTTCAAGGTATTTAATACGTTTCAGATGGTGGCCGGCCATCACTGATACTGAACCGCCACGGTATAAACCTATAAATAACCCCTCAATTTATCATTTACCACTTTTACATCTTCAATCTTTCAAATTTTCTTACTCTTTCTGCCTCTATTTCGCCACTCGTAGAGCCACCTTCACTAGTGTTTGGTACCATCAGTCTTTCATCTTCCTTTGCTTTTCTCTTTCTTATGTCAATGGCAAAAACTTCAAAAACCGTACCTCAGAAGGAGAAGGCTTCCTCTTCACGGTCGTCCAGCGATAAGGCGCCGGTGGAGCCGCCTCCCCACGAGTATGTTCCTGGCCTGTGTACTCTAAAGATCGATTTTAAGGTTGAAAATTCTTCGTTGGTTCTGGGTCGATGTGAGCATATGTCGATGTACAAGTGCTCGATAACAGAGGACCATCTCGAGGCTGTGAGGAAAGACTGCAACTGGGGGCCTGAGGTTGTATTGCAAATTCCCTCTTCCGAAGAGAGCATCATCACTCATGTAGGGGTGGCAAGTGGGCCGGGCCCGGTCCTAAGTGGGCTTCGTGGGCTCGGTCCTAAGTGGGCCGATCCTATACGGTCCGGTCCTAAACGGTCCTGGGCCTCGCGGGCTTATTGCTGGAACCGGCTCGGGACCGGGACCACGAACTAACGGGCCCGACTTTAGTGGGCCGGTCCCGGTCCGGTTCTGGGCCCAAACGGGCCTAAATGGGCCCAACAGAAACTTTTTGTTTTTAATTTTTTTTTTGTATAGAAGTTAAAGAAAACAATAGTAATAAAGATATATAAGCTATATTCGATTTATATACTATATATACATCTTAAAAATATATATATACAATATTATATATACATAGTATACATCTTAAAATATNATATATATATATATATATATATATATATATATATATATATATATATACACACACTATACTATATATACATCTTATATACACACACACTATACTATATATACATAGTATATTAGTCATATTCGATTCGATAATATAGGTCTTGAAACTGTGATTGTAATTTATAAAATTCATCATCACAAGTACATGTATCACCTTTGCAAGTTGTACAAGTATTATCAATATTTTTATCACTATCAGATAAATCAAGCAAATCAATTTCAGCTTCGGATTCTGATTCAGAATAATAATCAGATTCNATTCTGCAAATATTCCTATCTGTATTTTTTACACTTTTACAGATAGTTGCATACATAAGCATTCTATGTACTAGAATAGTTAACTGCCTATCAGTCAAACCATCAAGATTCCATTCGTAAATTTCGGAACCACTGTAAGACGTATTAGTCTGATTCCAATCACGTTCCTCTATTAAAACATCTTGAGGAGTAGGACGATTGTAATAATAAGTCTGCATTCTAGGTTTATCAGCATATCTGCTATCTGCAAACTTACTATTCTTTTTGGGGTAACTTCTGAGTTTATTAAACTCTGACAAAACATCCTTTTTATAGTCAAAAGTAGAATCTAATTTATCAGCAAAATCATTTGATAAATCAATGGGTTTGATATTCAAACCGGATAACTTTTTATCAAGAAGTTCTTCTAAGTCTCCAAAAGATTTAAATTTAAAATCCTGAATATCAGGAGGTCTTTGAATATGAGTAACAACAATCTGAGGTTAAGATGTATATATATTATAGTATAGTATAGTGTATATATATATATATACTATATGTATATATATATATATATATATAT